CCCCTGCATCCTTCCGTCCCCTGCTTCAGGCCAGGGTCACGGCGATGCCTACACGATTCCTCGCGCCTACCTGCTGCTACCTGCACGCCCAAGTCAATGAATGACCAAGCAAAACCTTTGCCTCCACAACTGGAGAGTTTCACAGGTGTTATCTACGTATCTACTGCTGGATGAAGGCAGAGGTCACCTCCAGAAGGAATGTCACGTGCCTGAGAAGACTGTCCTGCCTTCTGCCCACAACACGACCTGACTGACTCAGCCCAGGTGCCAGGTGTGGACCTTTCTGGCCACATGCTCCTCTGCTCCTCCCTCGCCCCTGAGCTGGGCTCCAGCACCCCCCACCTGAGGCTGGGCCCCGTCCCAGGCCCGCACCTGTCCTGCGAGATTAAAAAGCCCTTCTTTTGGGTGTTTTGAGCAGCTCAGCTTTACCCACCCCCGGAGCGGATGTCTGTAGCGGCAAACCCCCGGGCTCCAGCCCACAGCTCCAATCCTGTCCCTCTCACACCCAGGTCTGCCCCCTTGGGCAGCTCACCTGTCAGAGCCTCGGTTTCCTCCCTTGCAAATGAGGTATTCATGTCCACCCCGCAGGGTGCCGTGAAGACTGAATGAAATCATGCCTGGCCAGTTGTCAACAGTCAGTGACAGGCACCGTGATGACTGTGGGACATTACTGTCATCATTACTGTTTCTAGGAGTCCTGTTGGAGGGAGTGTGCCGGTTCTACCATCTCATCTTTGTCCCACAAGCCCCATCTTGCACTCTGGTTCCGGTAACTCGATGCTTAATCTAAGTCCCCAGAGGCTGACTGGGTCCCCGCCCGGCTTCCCTGCTCAGTTCCTGGGTCCTCTGAGACCAGGGCCCCACATCCCCTGTAAGCCGCAGGGGTGTGCCGGGCCAGCTGCTATACAGCCAGGAATTCTGCTGGCCAGAGACCACCAGCAGCTTGCAGCCAGCTGCAGTGAGAGTGTTTACACCAGGGAAAGCAGCAAAGCAGTTTTGTTTTTGTTTCTTTGTCCTCTTTTGCCCCCAGAGAGCCAGCATGCCAGCATCCCACCCAGTCATCCTAGAGCTGGAACCAGCTCTCTGGGCCCCAGCAGCAGCTCTGCGCCAGGGCTGCCCCCAGACAGCTGTGTCCAGGAGGTGGCTGGCCTGCCGGCCCTGCCCACGGCACAGCCCAGCACCCCTGAGCCCACCCTCCTGGCCAATCTGTCTGCACCCACTCCAGTGGGCCCGACTTCACCCTGATGGCAACTGTGACCAGCTGTGACCGTGCCCCACGCTGCCCCCTCCCAGCTGGTCACCTCTCCCCGCAGCCAGCAGCCCACTCCAACAAAGAGCATTTTCAAGCGCCACTGAGGCCTTCAAGACAAAGTTATCCAGCCTCCTGGCTCTGAATCGGGGTCAGGTACCCAAGGCGCACTCTGACATCACAAAGGGAGTCTGGGCCGAAAACAATCTGCAGGCCCCGGAACAAGCCCTTCCCCGAGATGCCCCAGCAAACACTGTGTGGATGGTGCGATGGCCTCCACCCGGCCCCATCCTTAACCTCATGCCAGAGAGACAGGGACGCTGGCCACACACGGGGAGAAACCACCCTGGAAGAACCACAAACAGCTGTTCTCATGGGTTCACGTTCAGCTCTCAGGGAAAAGCTGGGGATCCTGAGTGACATACCCCCCAGGGTCCCGGGAAGCTAAGGATGTGGGTACCTCTGCACCCAAAGCTAATGGCTGTTGGAGCTGAAAAGACCCTTAACATCCTACACAGCCAGGAAAGGAAGCCGCGTGCACCCTGCGTCCACCTCTGCCCTGCGCCAAACCACACGAGGATGACCGAAAAGGAGTAAGTGGGTGGATAAGCCCACAAGGTCAGAGACCACAGAGGTAAAGACAGAGACAGAGGATGGTGACATCAGCTCGGCGGGACAGCTCTGACAACTACAGGTGATCTAAATGACAAGCCCGGCACAACATGGGGTACACGGTACACACGGTATTCATCACACCACCAAGCGTTAGTGGCGCCGTCTGATTTTACACGTTAGCGCGCTTGAAATTCTCAGTCACCTTGATTCCTGAGGGGAAAAAACATCTTTATAGGCACAAATTCCCATTTAAAAGTTTGGGCTGAGCGTCGTGTTGCTTTACAAGATACTTTTCAGCCATGTCTTTTTAAATGTTTTAATTATGAATCCCCAAAATATTGCTTGTCAATAAAACTACGCAGATTGCGTGGTTTTAAGACACGTTCCAAGAGGCGAAAAGTAAATATAAACTGTTTGCCGCCTTAGAGGGCCAGAACAGTCAAAAAGAGTGGGGAAAAGAAAGTGAAAGAATAAATGGAAGCAAAAGGCAAAGAGAAAAGTGAAAATCGGTTGCCTAAGATGGGAGAGAAGACCAGGTGTCAGGAGCGCAACTGCTTAGTGAAGACGGGGTGTTTCCTTCTGCGGTAGCTCCCTAGGCCCATCGACCTTCGGCCTTTCCTCCCTGACCCACCATTCGCCTGATGACCTGCTCCCCCACTCCCCTTGCCTCTGGGCCACCCCAAGACCTCATGACCCAGGGGCCTGGGGCGGAGGGTGCTCCGGGTCCCAGCCACAGAGCCGGGCTCTGACTCGGGAGCCCTGAGCACCCGCCCACCTCTCCCCCTTCTCACCTGGGGGCTTAAGGGACCATTTTTATCGTAAATCATCTAAGCCTCAGTTTTCTTAGGATCAGAGGTAACAACAGGGCCGTTGTACAGAGAAAGATAACAACGTTCCCTGTTTCGCCCATGAAGTGCTCAGTAAATGTTTATAATGCACGATGATTTCCCTCGACACCTTCGTTGGCCCTAAATAGGCTCTTACGGTTTGTCCGCACGTTTGTCCTCGCTGAATTCCTATTTTCGGATGACCCCACTCTAGGAATCTCTCTACCCCTAGAAAACACCCTGGACCACTGCCCTGTTGGATTCTACTGGAGTCTCCCCACAGGGCAAGGGCAGGGGGATAAAAATCAACCGGTGAGGCCCATTGTGGATGTGGGCCCCTGAGGCAAACACATTCCTCCCGGTAAGAAGGCGATGTGGCTAAGGCAGAAATGGCAAACACAAGGGGACGTGCTCCCAGGGCACCTCGGAGAAGCACAGCAGCTGTGTGACCCATCCCAATCACATGGCCATTCCAGCCCTGCAGGGAGCCCTGCGTATCCATTAGAGCCTAACCTATTTGCTGGGAAGAGCATGAGCCTTTTAGGGTACAACAAACAACGATCAAAAAGCAATCAGAAAAAAAAAGAAATCACGTGCATTTAAACTCAGCTTTGCTACTTTCTAGCCATGTGACCTCAGCTGCATTTCTAAGTTATCCAAAATGACGCTCGTCTTGCGGCTGCATCTTGGGCTTGTAGCTAGTGACACATAACCCAGCAGCTATCCCAGGAACCATCTCTCCTTTTCTCACCCCACCTCACGTTCTGCACACCCTGTGTTCAGGGCCCTGGGCGGAGAGTAGCTGAAGAGCATAAGTAAGAAGCTCTTGAGTACAAATGCTGAATATGGCAATTGCTTTTTCAACTTTGAAAATAGACACTTACGTCGGTTCTATAATGATCTGTCTTATATTTGCTAAGTTATCAATATTGGATTCATTTTAGGGCGTGAATCTTCCTAAATTCTTTGTACTTACTGAAAAGGCCATATTGTAAGACTCTGTGATCATTAACCTCTGTGCGATGTTATATTTGAAAACGGAAAAACTAAATGTTTTTGTTGGAATACACCACACATACAGCATTTGAGGTCAGAAGGTAAAAATGAGTTAGAGCCCCTACGGCCGGCCTCTGCTTCCGCCGGGATAGCAGTGTTGTTTTGGAATGTCAGCAGATCATATTTTTAGAAAAATATATTCAATGAACTAATGACAATGTCAAAAATATCCATGAACCCCAGAATTTGTACATCCATTAGTTTAGAATGAGCTTTTCTTCTACAGATACATTCCTTAATAAACTGTGCAGAAGACATGATCAGAAGTGACGCCAAGCCAGTGGACCCTCCACATGGACAAAAATACTCAGATACACGTTTAAATAGGCTTCAGCAGTTAGCTGTTCATTGCTTATTCAGCTGAGCCAATCAAACAGGGATCTCAGCGTCAGGGCCAAAGACCAGTGCTTGCCTGGGGTGGAATGCCAAGTAAAAACAGACGCTAATTATAATAAGTGCCTTTAATCAGGCTGAAGGTGGTTGTTTCACAAAATCAGTTAAAATCTTTGCCTTGCAATGATTTGCAACTTCCTCTTCTGTTAAATTTACCCTTAAGACTTTTCCCTTTTATTTGCATTACTGTTTTCACCAGTGTAAATATAGCTTAGATTTTTTTTTTCTTTCCAGGCGTTCAAAGTGCTTTCGCCATTCATTTCATTGGCAATATTGTTACTTCATCAAAAAAAATTGCTTCCCCAATGTCCTGCCCTCGAACCCATTCTATTCGTGGGCTGACCAAATGGTGCAGAGGATCGCACGCAGAACTGATGTCGCGTTTTTCAGGGTGGCACGGCGTCCCGAGGGCGTCCTCACTCTGGAGCGGACGCCCTGTCACAGCAGGTGGGGGCCTCTGCGGGATGCTCAGGTCACTGCGCCACCGCCGAACGCGCCCCCGTGAGCACCCGCAGGCTCTGCCCCTCTCGGCTGGGGAACCCCCTGCCCGCGCCCGCATCCCCCCCCCCAGGGCGCGCGGGTGGGTTTGCGGTTCCGAAGCCCCGCGCCTGGGCGTCCCACGGATGGCAGCCCCGCAGCGCGCTGGCCCGGGACAAGGTGCCCGACCCGCCAGCCCAGGAGAGGTGATGGGGGGCCCCGGTACCCGCTCCAGCCGCGGCACCCCCAGCGCCCCTGACGACGCGCCCGGGGCAGGGCGCAGCGCTGTCCCCCGGGCGGGGGCATCGGACGCGCCTCTGCAGTTCCCAGCGCCGGCGCGGGCGGCCTGGCTCCTCCGCCTGCCCAGCGGCGCCCGCACCTACCCAAGTCGCCCAGGAAGCGGCCGTCCGCCGCCGGGGGCTCCATGCGGCTCCCTGCCCGGCCCCGCCGCCCCGCGACTGCCGGCGCCCGGCCCCGAGCCGGACTGGGGCGGGGCCACCTGCGCGCTGTGCCGGGAGTTGTAGTTCCCGTCGCCGGCCTGGCGCGGTGCCCAGGTTCCCTGCCTCCCCGCTCCGCTGTCGCTGTCGCTGTCGCGGAGCTTGGCCGCACCGGCCGAGGAGTGCGCGTGCACAGGATGGAAACGTGTGCTATGCACGCACAGATCCGAGTGTCCCTGTGCAAAACACGTGTCCCGTGCATGTGTCCCGTGCAAGCATGTGTGTGTCCGTGTGCAGAACGTACGTCTGCGTGTAAACATGTGTCCGTGTGTCCATGTGCAAAACATGTGTCCTGTGCACGTCCGTGTGCAAACCATGCGCCCATGTGCAAACACGTGTCCCATGCACGCACGGATCCAAGTGTCCCCGTGCGAAACGTGTTTGGTGTTCAGTCCTGTACCCACGCGCAAACCTGATGTGTCCACCTGCCAAAACTCACTTCCACCCTTTGCGTCGATGGCGCCCATTAAGCACCCAACTTCCTCCAATGCTTTAACTCCCAAGAAGCTCTTTCTACCAAAGCTGGTGTTCATAATCCCTGTTTCTTTCGTCTTCGGAGATAAATTATAGATTTAAAGTCGTTGAAATCCATTAAAAAAAAAAAAGCCTTTCATTTACGGACGGTTTTTAATCCAATGTTGTCCTAAGAGGTTTAGCAGATGGAAGCCGGGGCGAGGCCTGGCGTAAATGAAGAATCTGTTCCCTGCATAATTCCAAGTCAATAATTTAATCAGGGATTTTTTTTTTTCCAAAGTGGCTTCCAAAGTTCAGAAGATTTAGCTTTGAAAAAGTTCACTGTAGCCTCATCAGGAGATTCCTCACTCACGCCGACCTGTACTGAACCTAAATGTAGAATTTAGTTTCGGCTGGAAGGTAAAAATATCAGGAATCATCCCGTCTGGGAATAGGTACCCACTAGCAGAGGGCAGACCGTTTGGTCTCTCCCTCCTGCAAGCTGCGGCCTGGAATCTTTATCTCCAGTCGGGACACAGGCACTGTGTTTAGGAGGCCCTGGACACACCTGTTGGAATCCAGAACTCAGGGGAATTGAGAGCCCCAGGCCTGGGAATGAAATTTCAAGACTGTTAGGAGTGTGTATTTATCCTTTTGGCTGCTGCCTACTAAAATCTGGCTGTTGCATTTTTCCTGCAAGTTTTCTGCTTTTTTTTAATTAAATATAGTAGATACTTCTATCAAAATATTTGCCTTAGAATATTATGTTTTCCCTGTGACAATGTAGTGTGTTTGTATGTTTGTATTTTCTTCAATGTTTCTTCCTTGACAAAGTATCATCTAGGTCTGAGTATAGATCATATAGAATATATATTTTTTCATATGTGTATATGTGTTATGAGAGTGCTAAATATATTAGAAAGCAAGCATTTGCTTATCATTTGTTTACATTATGTTTTTTCTTCATTCTGTTGCTTGATTTCAATATTTTATTGTAAAAAGGCATTTTAAAGTTTTTATATATTCAGAAATATATTCCCTGAAAGTATTTCCTTTCTCTTCAATATTCAGAATCTATTTCCCCACCAAGAGCCAGAGAGTACGTTATTCTATTTTGTTCTGTTCTCTTGTTGTGAAGTCTATGACCACGTGGGATTTGTTCCAATGCATAGGATGAAAATATAGGATCTAAATTAATTCTTCCCTAAATGGAAATAGAATTGCTTCCAAAATATTCATTAAATAGTAATCCATTTATCTATTTTTATGTTACTACTCTCTTTTCATTACGTTAGGTTTCAATTACCTTTTGAATCAACTGTAAGAACTTCTATGATACTAAAAATAGTTCTATTACTTATTTAGCAAATATTTACTGATTACCTAATCTAAAAGTAGGTAATTTTTAAAACTGTTTTAAAACTTTGGCAAGGCTAACTCTTCTGAACTTTGGAAGCCACCTTGAAAAAACAAAATTCCTTTACTAAATTATTGACTTAGAATTATGCGGGAAACAGATATGCCAGTTTTAAAATCTGATAGGATAGCTATTTAGAAAGTGGTATATTAGGGACTCCCTACACATCATGAATTGAAATGTGCAGAAGAGTTAGATTGCCTACCAACTGTAGGAGTTTAATTGCCTACCAATTGTAGGATTTCATTAGGTTATGCAGCAGATCTAAAGCAATAATAAGAATGGTCTGGCCGGGCGTGGTGGCTCACACCCGTAATCCTAGCACTCCGGGAGGTCAAGGCAGGAGGATTGCTTGAGCTCAGGAGTTTGAGACCAGCCTGAGCAAGAGCAAGACCCCATCTCTACTAGAAATAGAAAAAATTAGCCAGGCATGGTGGCATGTACCTGTAATCCCAGCTACCTGGGAGGCTGAGGCAGGAGGTTCACCTGAGCACAGGAGTTTGAGGTTGCTGTGAGCTAGGCTGACACCATGGCACTCTAGCCCAGGCAACAGAGTGAGACTCTGTCTCCAAAAAAAAAGAGTGGTCTGTCCTCAGAGACCTTTGACATTGATCAGTTGACGAGGGTGTTCCTAGAGCTGAAATACACCGGCAGCCTGCTGATGCCTTATTCGATTGTCTAAGCAGAGAAGCTCTAGGTCTGTCTATCAGAATATGGAGTTTCAGCCTCCCAGCCAATCCCCAGATTTGAGCCAGTTCCCAGACCCAGAGCTCCTTTAGTGAAGGGGAGGCCAGGTCCACTTGCGGAAGGACTTTGATACACAGAGTTTATACTGTAAATCTTCCACCTAACCTGCCCAAAGAATTTTATGGATATTTATTGGGTTATATATCAAGTATGCCCAAAAGAAAGGGAAATGATGAGACTATTCAACAATTATTGGTCACTGGCTCTGAAATGACATTACTTCCTACAGAGCTAAAATGCCACTATGTCTATCAGACAGAACAGGAGCTGATGGAGAACATGATCATGGAGGGTTTGGGGTCAGGTCCATCTCAGGTGGGCCCAGTGGGTCCCTGAGTCCCGTGGCTATTTCTCCAGTTCCAGAATGCATAATTCAAGTATAGATACATACTAGAAACTAGCAGAGCCTCTACATTGATTCTCTGAACCACCAGGTGAAGGCCAAGTGGAAGGCACTAAAGCTGCCTCTAGCTACTAAAATAGCAAAAAGCTGTCTCGAATTGCCAGAGGCATTGCAGAGATTAGTGCCACCATCAAGAACAGGAAAGATGGCCGGGCGCGGTGGCTCACGCCTGTAATCCTAGCACTCTGGGAGGCTGAGGCGGGCGGATTGTTTGAGCTCAGGAGTTCGAAACCAGCCTGAGCAAGAGCGAGACCCCGTCTCTACTAAAAATAGAAAGAAATTAATTGGACAACTAAACATATGTAGAAAAAATTAGCCGGGCATGGTGGCGCATGCCTGTAGTCCCCGCTACTCGGGAGGCTGAGGCAGAAGGATCGCTTGAGCCCAGGAGTTTGAGGTTGCTGTGAGCTAGGATGACGCCACGGCACTCTAGCCCGGGTAACACAGTGAGACTCTGTCTCAAAAAAAAAAAAAAAAAAAAGAACAGGAAAGATGCACCCGTCCCCATTCAGCCTGCATATTCAGGCTGCGCAGAAGACAGATAGATCTTGGAGAATTACAGTGGATTATCATAAAATTGATGATGAGTGACTCCAACTGCAGCTGCTGTTTCAGAAATCATCTCGTTGTGTGTGCAGCTCTCAGTCTGATGAAAGCTTTCTCTAGTGACGCCCTTGGTGTAGACCATGAGGGACACTTTGCTTCCTGGTCCTGGGGCAGCGACTCACCGTTATGGTCTCACATCAGAACTTTACCAACCTTCCAAGCTTACATCATAATCTAGGCTTCGGGTATCTCGGCTGCCTTCCCGTTCCACGGGACATCACTCTCGTCTGTGATTTTGATGATATCGAGCTGATTGGATCTGAAGAGCAGGAAATTAGCGGCTCCTCTAATCATCTCGGTAAGATGCATGCATGACAGAGGGTGGGAAATAAATGCCACAAAAATTCAGATGCCCGTCACCTTGGGAAAATTTCTAGTGATCTGGGGCATGTCAAGCTATCCCCCCACCCCCGCCCCTAAGTGAAGGTAAAGGGCTGCGTCTGACGGCTCCAGCCACTAAGAAAGAAACATGGTATAAATAGGCTTCCTCAGATTTTCAGTGCGACATAGACCTCATTTTAAACATTTTTCCTATTCCAACATAAGCAGCAACTGGCTCTCACTGGCTCTCTCACTTTAGCTTCTCAAAGTCCTGGACCAGGTGTGTGTGTAGCTTCGTGGTGAAGAATGCAGATTCTTCTGTTACTTAGCCATGCCAGTGCTGTTGGAGACTGATAAAATGTACACATCTACAAATTTGCCTCTAATAACTGCTTTAGTTGCAACCCACAAATTTGATATGTTATGATTTCATTTTCATTCAATAGAAAATATTTTCTAGTGTCTCTTGTGATCTCTTGGCTAATTTGGACATGCGGTTTATCCTTTTCTTTTTTTTCCCCCCTCCTGCTTTCCTGCTGAAAATGTGTGTGGCTTAATTTCCTAATATTTGGGAATTTTCCAGATGTCATTTTGCCATTGATTTATAATTTAATATAGAATATATACATAATATACTCCAAATTATTTCAATCCTTTTCAATGTATTAAGATTTATATGTCTATCTTACTGAATGTGTATTTGGCAGTCATTGGGTGAAATTTCTACTAATTTTACTTAGGTCAAATTGCTTGACAGTGTTGCCCAAGTCTTCTGTATCCTTCTGATTTTCTATATACTTCTATCAATTCCTGAAAGACTAGAGTCAATTTCCAACTATGAGCATGGATTTGTCTCTTTCAGTTGTATCAGATTTTTCCTTATGTGTATTGAAGCGCTCTTATTAAATGAATACACTGTCAAGGCTGTATCTTCTTGATGAATTGACCCTTTGATCATTACTAAATGTCCCTCTTTATCTCTGGTAATATTT